AATACATTAGGAACCATCAAGCTCTGGCAAAAGGGGAGGGGGTTGACTCACGCTAGCGGATTTGCATTGATCCACAGTAAATGAATGCGGATTAGCAGCATCAAGCTAACCCGCCGACAGATAAATAACATTAAGGGTATTATACGCCAACGCCTGTTATTAATGACATTACAAACACTACAATGCCGGCAATTATGGAAATAATGCAAGCCAGCTGAATAATGTACTTGTTGGGGATTCTGGGGATGAGCCACGGAGAAGGAAGAGAGAGAGAAGTGAGCGACAGGGAAGTGTTGGTGGAGGCCAGAGCGGCTTTGAAAGAGCCGCTTCATTCATGTTTATGTGGGAATAATGAGCGATATGTGAGTAATGGAAGCCGCGGTTATCGATGGGCGACGGAAGGCAAGGTCGAAGCTACAGGTGGCCGCTCTCCCACGTGGCTCAGGTAAACAGGGGCGTCGTGTGCAAAGGTACGCTGCAAAAAGTGAGGGGATATAAGTCGAAAAATGTGTCTGTGGCGAGGGCAAGAGAATTTTAACATAGGTTGTGTGGGAGCTCATACTAATGAATTGTTTTATCATTTTTAGGTTAATAATGATTGTTGTTGTTATTGTTATATATTGTTGGCAATCTACATCTTGCCCAGGGACTACAGTTGAAAATTAGCTTTGGAGCTAAAACTGGCACATTTACAGTGATGTTAATTAATGTGCATTGTCCCTGTTTAAATAAACTAATAATAAAAAAAAAAAAAAAACTGTTCTAAAATACTCACTGGGAGACTTTGAAAACATGTTGAACAAACCAGCGTGGACCTCTGGAAGCTGTGAGGAGAACAGGTGAACTTAAAATGAAATTATTTCTGTGGTTCAAATAAGAAACCGGTTTATGATATAGACCTACACTGCAAAAAGTGATGAAAAAATTGTTTTAAAAAATGCTGAAATTTGGCTACAATTTATCTGTACTTTGAGCACATTCTGACTGAGCGTTAAATTAAGATTTGCCGATGGGACAAAACAAAATGATCTTGTTTAAAAAGACTATTCCAGTTTCTATAGATATTCAGACCATAACAGGGTCCTGAGGCTCTGTATATAATATTTACAAAACTATATTTACTGTATGTGCAAAAAGTTAAGCCGGAGGAAAACCTGTGAAATTATATCCGGCTCTTCGACAAAAGGCCTTCGGGAAAGAACAGGTTGGTGTCAGGACAGAGGCTCCTGGGGGCCACGGGACCTCTGTGCACGAGGAGAACATGCAAACACCACTCAGAAGCCCTTTCATGTGCGTGAACAAACAGGAAAGACAGGGACGAGAGACACCACTGTCTTATTTTCATGATTTCAGACATATATATAGGTCTAGATAGATACTGTAGATAGAGAGAGAGAGAGAGACAGACAGAGAAGAGAGCAGATAAAATAATGTAAATATGCAGATGCAAAGTGTAACCCAGGTGACAAATCGTGTTTTTCCCCTTTGAATATACCACTGCTTGGCCTACTGCTTGCTCCACCCATTAGCCAATCAGATCCCTTCTAGCCAATGCATGGTTTTATTGGTTAGAGGAAAGCAGGTTCAGGAAGTGCTGTGGGGGAAGCTGTGAAGGGAGTGGCTGCAGGTGTGCAGTGTGCTCACTTTACTGTTTGATGCCTTTGTGTTTTGTTTGACGTTTATTGTACAAACTTTCCTCATTTAGGAGCCTTCTATTTGCCAAAGAATAGTGATCAGCTCGCTTGTGAGGAGGAATACAAGGAATTGGTGAGTGTGGCTTATTTCACACTGTAGCATCGCCATTTCTAGCCACATCCATTTTGTATTAGTGGAGTGGTTTATGTGCTTTATGCAAGCAGCCTTTATGCCTGTTCTGTCCATCAGTAATGCTTTGCTTTTACTTATAAATGTTATTTAATGATATTGCATTCATTGTTTAACTTATTGTGGGGCGAAGTAGCTCAGTTGGTAGAGCATTGGCCTTTGAGCCTGAAGGTCGTGGGTTCAAGCCCACCGTAAGCCCTACTTCACGACCCCCACTGATGACTGCTGTCGTTGTGTCCTTGGGCAAGACACTTAACCCCACTTTGCCTGAAGCCCCCGCTGAAAGATCTCAGCTCCTGTGGACTCACCACCTGCAGGAGGATCAGTGAGGGGCTGGTGCTCTGTGGACTGGGTGGCATCTCTGGCCACCCCCTCAACCCAGAAATGGATTAAGGGGAAGAAAATGGATGGATGGATGGATGTTTAACTTATTGACTGTTTATTGAATGTTCATTGAATGTTTGATTTATACTGTTTAATGACTACAGCTAGTACATTATGTTTATATACACTGTGAATATTTATATACTAGTACTGATATGGTTTTTAACCTTTTGATAATGATGGATTATAGTACAACCTGTGCTGTATTGTAGAATCGTGTGCACACTGGAGCTTAACTATTTAGTTAGCTTTTGATTTATTTGAGCTTTGGTCCTGTTCTACAGGCCAGGTTTTGACCCTGATGGCGACCTGAAGGACCAGGCCTAGAGCCTACAGAGCCCACTGGATCTGGAGCCGCATGTTCGCATCTCCCCTGCTGGCCGGTAGGGGGCTCCTTGCAGCCCACAAACTCTCTCCCCACTTTGCACGGAACTTTTGCAATCCACTCATCCACATCTCACAAACTCTTGTGCACCGCCTCCCTCTGGTCAACTGGTCAAACCCAGAGTGGGTTATCAATGAACTGTGCCGCGGCTGAGAAACTGTTTTGTTGAATTCTATCACTGGTTGCTTTTGGAAGTGAATACTGTGAAAAGTGTTTCTATACACCTCTGCACCTTCTCCACCGACTCCCACTGATGACTGCTGTCGTTGTGTCCTTGGGCAAGACACTTAACCCCACTTTGCCCAAAAGCCCCTGCTGGAAGATCAAGGCTATGCTCACACTCAGAGAGCAGCCGTCCTCCTGTGGACTCACCACCTGCAGAGGGTCAGTGAGGGTCTGGTGCTATGAGACTTGGGTGGCATCTCTGACTGCCACCCCCCTGACCCAGAAATGGATTAAAGGGTAGAAAATGGATGGATGAATGGATGGCTGTTTCTATACAGTGTACTTGTGCAGTGCTGAACGAATATTGATTCAAAACACGTGTTACCATTGAATGGCCATTCACTGATTTTTGGGTATATGTTTTGTGTGTCACTGTATTGTTTGTCAATTTTGTCCTTTGTTAATACATGGTACCAACCAAACTTATTCAGTCTCCTGCCACTCCCTCCTTGAGCCAAATCTAGACTTCTGACTACTAGCCTAATACAACTCTACTATTATTTTCTTATTACACGTTTATTACTTAGTACTTACTGTGTTATAACTATATTCTAAGATTTTGTAGCTTCTTGTTTGTTCTACTTAGTTTACATATTATTTTATGACACAAGGGTTACATAATTATTTTTTTCAGATGAATGTGAACTTTGAGAGACAGTTGAAAACATGAGCGTCCTCGTCTTCATCACCGGGACTGTGCTTCTGTGCTGCTTGTTTTGGGTCAGAGCCAAAGAGAACATAGTTACCTGCAGAGTAAACCAGCCCAAAGGCTTCATATCCTCTCCATAACTGTCATCGTAAAACATGTTGGCATCAGACCAGCGGGAACCGTTAAATCCACAATAAAACTGCAGAGAACAGAAATATCTCCCTTAATGAGAAAATAAAGCTACAGCTCTTGAGACTAAATGGCTTCGTCACATTTAGAGTCTGGTTTAAACACAGTCAGAATGAACTAAAACTAGGATAAAAACACTGGATTCAGCAGTTATTTACTCGTATTTGATCGTTTTTTGCAGTGTAGGAAAAATTGTAAACAAACACAAGCGTTTGGAGTTAGCATTTCTTCAAAAAGTTAGCATTCTTTGATAGACGAGCAACAATATTGTAAAAGTAAAGCATTATACTTTGGACCAGAGCAGAGAAAATGGTCTGAACCAAGAAGCGGCTCCACCTCTGCTGCTGTGACCTGACGGACTGTTGTTATTATGACTATTGTTAGCTTTTCAGAATGACCAATTTATTTATTTATTTATTTATTTGCTGCTACTGGACCTGAATTTCTCCTTCAGACGATCAATAAAGTATCTATCTAATAGGTACGTACACTGCACACATTTCTTACTAACTCAAGGTCTTCATGGTTCTTCGTGGTTCTTCGTTGTTCACCAAGATTTGTCTCACAGAATAAATGTATTGTATAACTAGAAAACAACATCCTTTTCAATAACTCCGGAGACGACAGACGCGAGACACTTACAGAATACAGAGCACCTTTGTATTTTCTTTTCCCCATTGGTTAATTTGAGTCACTATCGCTAAAGCAGGGAGAGACACGGCTCTTACGTTGACTTCTCGGGCTCATTACGCGCTCCTCAGCCACAAGTGTGTCTTAAGCCCTACTTTAAATCAAACCCTCTCTTACCTGCAGCTCGCTTACTATCAGCATTCCTCCCTCCAGCCGAGTTCTTGAGCGTTTATGTAATAAATACTCCACTCCCACCGTGAGTGACAGCGAGGGGCATGCCGGCCGGACTAGAAACGGAACAGAATAATGCATTTTTTCATCTAAAATTCCTTCTCTTCTCTTTACCTCAAGGTTCCCTCCTCTGAGCCACTTGAAAGATGGGCAACAATATGGCCACAGAGTGAACAGCTAGTTACCATATGAAACGCACCGGAGGAGAGAGAGACGGAGCAGGGGAAGTCTTGTGTTATTTATGATACCGAGCCTTGTAGCGGTATAGGATTCTGGACCCCTATGCAAGAGGGTCTAAGTGAAGCCTTCCAAAGTTCTCCGCTGTCTTCCTTTTGGTTTTTGAAGAAGAGAAGTGGCCTGACTGCGTCTTTCATGGCTTTGAGGGACGTTTTATATAGCCCTAGGTGTCTGTCAGTGCGACTAACAGTTCAGAGAGGGGAGCACTAATATCTCAGGAACTCGCCTCCGGGCAGCAGAGGCAAGATGTTAGCGGCGGCAATGGCTTACAGTAGGAGAGAGGATGAGGAGAATGGGGTCAGGTTTATGAGGGGTTTGGACAAAGGGTAAATATACAATAGTAATCGTTGGGGTGACATTTACTACAACTTCTTTATATCGGGATAAACATACACCAGACATGTTCATTCAGACTCCGGGTCAATGTAATAGACACATGCAGCGTGTTTAAGTCATTGATTTCAACAAGGAAGGACCTGAAAGCAGAACGACAAAGTAATCTAATTCAATAATTGCCACAAAATATGAATCCATAAGTAAGAACTGAAACCAGGAACAAGACGTGGGAAAAGAAGTGGGACTGCAAGAGGACAGGAGTCTAAATACACACAGGGAGACACAGGTGTAAGACATCAATGCGGGGCAACCAAACAGGAACAACAGGAAGTAAAACTCACAAGGGCACAAATATCTATCAACATAAAATTCATTGACTGTAAATAAATACAAAGTGACGCCTATCTCCACCGTTGAAACTAATGTGCCGCCACTTTTGCTTTCTGCTGGATTTTCAAGGGCAGGAAAATTTGCCCATGCGTTAGCTGCACTAGCCCTATTAGTTTAAAGAGTGCATTCAAAAGTCCACAGCGACTAAACTAGACTGGTCCAAAAAAATACTCTGCTCAGCATCGACAACATCTGGACCAAGAGCGACTTTTGGAGCGACTTTTGTAAAGACGTTTTTGAGATGAAAAAAGGTCCTGTACAAAAGCATTGGGTAATTCTCTTTCCGGGTACACCCCCACAGGCAAGGAGTGAGATTGTTGCATTTGAGTGGGAGGTGGGTGTTGTAGGTCGGTGACGTCAAGAGTTTGTGCTGAATTTGCTGGTTGTAGTTTGTCAGAGAATGTGGTAGTAAAATAATCTGCTCTGGTTCAATCCAAATATCAAGAAACTGAAGCCGGAGCAAGAGGAATGTTTAGTAAATGTCATTGAAGCAAAGATGTTGTGGCTCTACTCCCCACGGGCTCCGTTAGTCGCAAAGGAGATGGCTAAAGCTAGGCTAAATGCTAAAGCTAGGCTAAATGCTAAATTCCTCACTCACTCGGCTGCATTACATACATCACGGTAAACTCAGATCCAATCGTTTCATTCTGCAAAAGGAGTTAGCCCCTCCCACCTGTTAACGGGGAAAATCCAGACCTAAGTTTTAAATGAAAATACTACAATGGTACGGTAAGACCAGGCTAAAACTGATCTATACTTAAGAAAGAGTTAGTTATGACGGAAAGAATAATATTATGTGTGAGGGGTTAGAAGTTTGTTTATTGCTTCTGGTCATGAGAGTCTGTGCTTTAGATAAATTTTTTCACTAATATTGTTGTAAATAAAAGGGAAGTGACAAAACAAAACCTCCTCCGAGCTGCTGCTTTACATTGGACATTATAAGCATATTTTATTCTGTAAAGCAGCCAAGAAGTAAACAGCAACAACAGTAAAAATCCAACAAAGCAGAGACAGTAATTAACTTATTTTTTCAGGGCCTCGCAACACACATCGACACACACAGCAACACACACTGACACACACTGACACACACGGTTCAGCTGTGGAGGAGGCCATAGACTTTAGCACAAGGTTGCAAAGGTAATTGTTGCTCCCAGAAAGGACAGAGCAGCCCCTCGCTAAAGGTTGTCCCCTCTCTTCACCTTCGAGTCAGTCCTTTTGTCTCCGTCGGGCCAGGCACGGCAACACTCACTGATTTCAATAGCAAGGTTTTGCCGCAGACAAGAGCGCGGAAGAAAAGACTAGGCCACGCCGGGAAGAGACACACCAGTAAACAATGGGAAGGTCACGTAACCTTATGGTGATATTCAGGGTCTTTCAAACCATCAAGGATGTTCCAAAAGAGAGAGAGAAAAAAACATATTTGCAAATGCACAGGCATAAAAGCAGGACAATCAGATTTCTGTGTACACAATAAAAAAAAAAAAAATCTACAATGTTTGAACTGGACAAATTCAGGAGAGAAACGTCAGCTTGGTTTCTGGCTTTACCCATGACCGATGCGCACGGGAATGGATGTATTAGAGAGCGCGGACCCTTGCAAATTGAAGCGGGCCAATAAACAGATCATCAAAGATCATCCAAGAGCCGCAGAGCCTACGCACGCGCTCTGCCCCGCGCCCGGTTCAAAGGACGCAAAACACACACTGTCGGGGCAAATGAGTGCCACTGCTCCGCCGCTACACAGTCAAGCGCAACAACAACAGAGATAAGACTGATGGAAAGGATGAGCAGAGCGAGAGGGAGAGGAAGAGGAGAAGAAGAGGAAGAAATGAAACGGAGACCTGCCACTGCGCTCAAGGACACCGCATGGCACTCTGTAATTAGGAAAGTACACAGATGATTTGGATGCACGATATGATTAGGCAAAGCAATCCCCAGTCCTCGGCCTAATCAGTGTACTTCTGAGGGACTCTCCTGTGTGTGTGTGTGTGTGTGCGTGTGTGCGTGTGTGTGTGTGTGTTGAAACTCTGACATCAGTGTCAGAGCGGGGAGCGGGAAAAAAAAAAGTTTGTAGAAGTGTGAATGTTTTTGTTTTCTCACGACAAAAAGTACTTGAAACTTGCACAAGACACATATATACGTATACACATAAAACTAATGTATAGAAAACACAAACTTCTTTAAGATTAAGATGAAAAGTTTGTTCGTCCCACAGTGGGGAAATGCCAGTGTTGCATCACAAGTTACAGACTAGGAATGAGGAGCACACAGCACAAGACAAATACATACTGAAAAATAAAATACAATCTCTAACTCTAGCATAAAAAGAAGCAGTGCCTTTCTCGTTAGGGTGAGGAGCTCAGTCACACGGGAAGAGCTCAGAGTAGAGCCGCTGCTTCTCCATTTCGAGAAGAGTCGGGACCCGGCATCGGATGAGGCAGGAGAAAATGGACGGATGGATTATATTGTTTATTAATTGTCATTTACTCACTCTTTGAAATGCTTCTGACTCCAAGAGACCATTTCCTTCAAACACCAACTGCTGAAAATATCTGAACTCTGAAAATGTCTTTGGGGTGACCTTGGTCTGTAAAATGTGGTATATAAATAAACATTGATTACTTACTTAATGTAATAAACATGAAATACTAGCGATAAAAAAAACATCACAAAGTTATGAAGAGCAAAAAGGTTCATAGTATATAATTACAATAAAACTAAAAGCTGTCAATTTGACTGTTTGACTGTGATTTCTAGTATTAATGTTTGATTGAGACCAAAAAAAAAAGAGAAAATCTGTTTTTATTTTGTCTTTTCGATCCATCCTCCATCACCAAAAACACTGCTCTCCTTTCTCTTCTCACGCTCCCGGTCCACCTTCTCTCACGTTCGTTCTGACCCTCAAAGAATTGACCAACACATGCTATTGCTAACACGTCCAAATCCTGGAGCTAAAGCTTGGGGCGTCTTCAAAAAGAGGTGCTGTCCTTTGGCTAACGACTGAGGCCAATTAACAGCCTGTGTGTCCCTCTGTCTCGGCTCCTCCAGTGGCTTGTTATTGATCACCTTTGCCCCTGTCTCTCAGCGGTGTCAAAACTACCATTTAGACCCCTCCCCAGGGCTGAGCGTGCGTCGATTACACCCTGCCCCAGAAATCATTACCGGGAGCAGGCCGCCGTTCACACCACCCACCCCACGCCGCGCCCCCAGGGGTCAGGGGTCAGCGCCGGTCCCATGGATTATAGCACCCAGACACCCCCGCTAACCCTGGCGCTCTCCAGCCGGCCAACCTTCGCCGCCTCATGGGTCCTGGAGTGGCACCCCTTTGATTTTAAATAAGAAGAAAGGTCAGAGCAATCTCAATATGCGAGTCGTGTTTATTCATGATGGATCGGATCTGCATTTGTGCTGATGGAGTTTCCACAGGCCGTGATATCTTTCACTGCTATTTTGTTTTGCTAAATGTTTTATATTTGATCAGTATGACACACACAAATCAATATTAAATGTGTTTTTGTGTTGCCCTAAATCACAACAGAGCGGTTATTACAGTGGGAAGAGTCATGGCCTTTGCACAGATGTGTCTCGTAACTTTGCCGAGTGGAGGTAGGTTCTTGCTTCCAGTGTAAAAGGAAAGTTTGTCGACAAATTATAGAAATATCCAAGCAAAACATTTGGATCAACCCGAACAAAAGGCAGGAAAAAACAGTTGAGAAATGCCCTTTTAAAATCCATTGAATAACATGCAACACTGGGTTAAATTCATTTTAATTTTCCAAACAATACAATCCAAGACATACATTTCATCAATTATGCACTGAAGGGGTAGGTATTTATGTATGTATTACTTCTGCCTTAAGATAAGATAAGATGGACTTTATTGATCTCACACAGGAGGAATGTACATGTCACATCTGGCATGGATAGAATAACTCAAGATTTGTGCAAAAGGAGAAGAAGAAGGTCCTTAATTTGTCCTACAATGGGGGAATTTCAGTTTAATGCATACACACACACACAAATACACACACATATACACATAAAAAATACACACACACATACACATACACATACACATCAAGGCAAGCAGCCAACATCACTTCCGCGCTCCTTATAGGCAAGTGGGTTAAGTGTCTTGCCCAAGGACACAACAACAGCAGACAGCAGTGGGAGTCGTTGGAGAAGGTCTCATGATGGGCTCGAACCCATTTCTTGCTCAAAGGCTAATGCCCTACCTTAACTGAGCCACTGTCGCCGAAAGAAGTGTGCAAAAGGCAAAAAAATGGTTCATGCAGGATATATAATGTTCTCCTGTCTACTCCTTTCGACCTCTATATAGCACTTAAACACACAATGTATTTTTTGTTGTGTTTCTCTGAGCTAAAATAAACAATTTAAACAATATGAACAACACCAGTCGTCTTGGGGGACTTTACAAAGTTGTCGATTGCCAACACAGACGAGAGAATCAAACAGTCTTAACACAGGAAATGCACCTGTGATCCATTGATCCATAAGGGGCCAATGTCCATAAAACATGGGTCATCTATGGACAAGTCTATGGACTAAGGTGAAATCTATCATTTAAACTTGCCTCAGAGTCCAATCCTATTTGTGCTTCTGATGCAATTACTCAATCACACTTACAAAGAGAACATTATATCCAGCATGTACCTGTATTGTCTGTATTGTTGCCACCGAACGGACCATTCGGCTTCAAAGAGCTCAATTCTCCGCTGAAATTTAGTGAGAAATCCCCTTTACCTGCAGAGTTGGAAGAAGAAAACAAAATGATACTTGAGCCACTTCAGGTCAAAGACAGACTTCCCTTGAAATCCGGCCCAAGAACAATTCATCGAAGGTGAGAGCTTCAAACAAGGCTCGCTTCCTCCACTCTCATCGTCCATCTTCACCGCACTAATGTTAGCACCAGAACACGACATGGACCAACTATCGATACCAGGAAGGGAACGGAAATGTACGGATTCATCCCCGCAGGGAACTTACCACTAGAGCGTCAGATGTTGAGCTCTGCTTGGTCAGGACTACAGGTTTCCTTACAGGTACATGTTAAGGAATCTTTATTTATATAGCGCCTTTCACAGACCAGAGTCACAAAGCATGGACCAGAGTTTACACATGGTAAGACCAGACGTACATGTAGGAGATGATCATGGACCAGAGTTTACACATGGTAAGACCAGACGTACATGTAGGAAATGATCACGGACCAGAGTTTACACATGGTAAGACCAGACGTACATGTAGGAGATGATCATGGACCAGAGTTTACACATGGTAAGACCAGACGTACATGTAGGAGATGATCATGGACCAGAGTTTACACATGGTAAGACCAGACGTACATGTAGGAAATGATCATGGACCAGAGTTTACACATGGTAAGACCAGACGTACATGTAGGAAATGATCACGGACCAGAGTTTACACATGGTAAGACCAGACGTACATGTAGGAGATGATCATGGACCAGAGTTTACACATGGTAAGACCAGACGTACATGTAGGAAATGATCATGGACCAGAGTTTACACATGGTAAGACCAGACGTACATGTAGGAAATGATCATGGACCAGAGTTTACACATGGTAAGACCAGACGTACATGTAGGAAATGATCATGGACCAGAGTTTACACATGGTAAGACCAGACGTACATGTAGGAAATGATCATGGACCAGAGTTTACACATGGTAAGACCAGACGTACATGTAGGAAATGATCATGGACCAGAGTTTACACATGGTAAGACCCAGCCATCTCCCCCATTATCTCTCCATTCACTTTCTCGGAGGCCCGCTAGCATACCTGTAGTGTGTTGCCCGGTTTTGAATAACGCTGTGTCGATCTGTGCAGAACGTGATTCCTCTGTGTACCATGTGTGTACCATATGTGCCGTGGCGAATGGGAGTCAAACATGTTGCTTTGTCGCTGGTTTACTAATGGCAAAACTGCAGCCTTGGGCCACCTTTTAATTGCTCTGGCCGTGCAAAGCCGTAGAGGTGTCACTCCAATTAGACCCGTCGGTGGTTCGCTGCCCTGTCCCACGCCTTGCTCCCTCTGGCTGGGACACACCGCGGGGAGAGGTGGGCGCTAAAATCCATACCCAAGACCCTCCCCCATCCACATCAATGGCTCACCTTCTCCCTCAGAGCATGTTGCAGCTGAGTGGCATCTGCTAATGAATCATTCACTTTGCTAACGGAGCATTACAGGCCGAGCGTGATTATACAGGGGCTAATATTTGCATCTTTGTATATATTTTATCTGGGCAGAAAAGAGATCAACCATTTGTCGTAAATTATCGATTATTTTAAAAGCCGTTTTGGATATTTTATTGTTGTTAAAGGAGCAGTATGTAAAAAATATGGCCAAAAGTGGTACTGCACGCTCCCTGACTCAGGTTGCCAGATATGCAGACGAATCCAGCTGGGACCATAATATTTTAGTCAACAACAAATCTATAACCAACACCTTATTCACAAAGATAGAAATCCTGGTTTTATTCCTTGTTTTGATGTTAATAATTTGGGAATCATAACGAGACCTTTTTTAGTTCTTGAGTGGAAAATATAGAGTATTTATATATATTTTTGACCCTTTAAAAAATGCTTTCTGCCTGTAACCGCGTATGCTAGCACCAGAAACCAACTACACCCCTGTTTTTCACTGCCTTGTTTCTGTATACATTGTCCTACATGTGGCAAATGTGGTTTATTAGTTACATAAAAGCCACCACGTAATGAAAAGCCTAATATATAGAAATCGGCCAATTAGTTTGAACATGACTTCGGCCAAACCCCATTGATCTGTGGCTGCTTTGAAACACAACTGGGCAGTGATGACCCGTGCGGCCTGTCGTCTCGTATGTTTCAGATTGGCTATCTTTCATTTCTGTTAAAATAAGTTGCATGACAGTAACTCTTTGATAACATGAAAGAAGAAAATGCCGGTTTAGTCCATATACCAACACATATCTCAAAGCAAAATAATAGACAATATGATTTATGGTCAAACGAAATGACAATAATATATCCCCCATTTGCGATAACATTAAACGGTCGGTTCATTTGCCTGGAAATGGACGTTGGTATGTGTTTGCAAGGCCAAGCAAGGCAATTTATTTATTTATTTTCTGCAGGATGTGTTGGCAGTGGTGGCTCGTGGTAGTGGCTTTCTCATCTCCGACCCTGTCTCTGTCCGTCCACCCCATCCGGTCGTCAATTAGCTCTTTCACACCAGGCCTTTGTAGCCTCCCTGGTGCTCCCTCGGTCTCCTCTGCGTTTGAAGACGCTGGGTAAAGAAGACACAAGGCAGGTTCCCTTCATGGGCCGGGGGGTTAGCTGTCGAAGGGCTGTAGGCAAGGCAGTGGACCGGGCGGCGCAGAGAGAGGCTTCAAAAACATGTGGGGGGGAAGAAACACAGAGACACACAGGTGCAGGAGAGAGTTCAGGTGAATGGGCAGAGCAGAGAGGAGGCTTGTGGCTATGGACAGTGTCGTGGAGCGGGAAAAAACATTTGGAAATGGAGGTTCATTTGTGGGGATAGTTTTGAAGGCCTTAGACTCCTTTCAATTTTGATGCATAATTTTTCCCCTCATAAAAAATGAATTGTGTCCCAACAGAAGAGTTTGGTCGGACCACAACAAGCTTCTGTGTCTTCATAATATTAGAAAATCCTTAAAGAAAGCAATGTACATTTTTGATTTGAGTTTTTAAGGTATAAAAAGACAATTGTTTTTTTAACCCCTAGTTTTTTTTATGATATGCTTTTACCAGATGGTTTAAATCCAGTTTGATGGTAAAAGCACCTAAAACCGAGTGATAGAGACGCCACAATTTCAGTACCAAGCTTCAAGTCAATATCGATTCTCACAATACGATCCACCAAAAAGTTGAGGAAACCATTAAGGGGTTAAGAGAACCTGTATTTGTTCCACAGCGGAAACTTTTTGACAGTGATTCAAAGAAAATAAGTTAGTAATCTTGTTTTTGTAGCATATTTTTAGAGACCAAGGTTCACCCAAAGCACTTTACAAGGTTCAGAGTTGACTTATTGTGAAAACTAGAAAATGCGCGTCTGGTGAGCGGGGCTTCCGCGTTTCAGCGTTGGCGGTCTGAAAGCCCCGTTAGGCAGTCATTGAACGCCACATGTAGCTTCCATGTGCTCGACTGTCTATAGTTCGACCACAGATGTAAAGGAGTACAATAGACTTGAAAACGTGTATTTTTCACTTCATCTGTACACGCACCAAACCTGCGCACATGCCTATTAGCCTGTGCATACATGATGAAGCACTGCTGTAACACATCGTCATC